CTGCCTCTGCCTCCCGAGTGCTGGGATTAAAGGCGTGCGCCACCAACGCCCGGCTAGATCTTTCTTACCTTTTGAGTGAGGAAACTCTCATGTCATTTCTCAGAGGGAACTGTGGCTCTCCTCTAAGCAAGATGTGGAGACCCAGCTGGGCTTCATCTCTGTCCTGAGTTCTGAAGCCAACGCCAGTGTGGGAGTCAGAACTGGGTCCATGCAGTAACAAGTTACTTACAACAAATGAACTGACGGAAAACATTAGCTACAGAGAGAGGATTCATTTGGTTGGTGGTGCTGGCCCAATTGCCAGCCTATGTTACATCATTTGATCCCTGGGAACTTCCAGACCAGTCTGTTTACTTCAGAACAGACGCCAAAACTATGCCTTTGGCTTCCTCGTTTCCTCAGTTTTTCTGGCATGACCTTGAAATGCAGTGGTTTGAGGTGGTTGTAGCATACTATCTGAGGTGAGCCTGGCCACCCCGCACTGGCTCAAGGTGTCCTCTCATGTCCCACAGCTAGGTGTGAAAGATCCTTCCAAAGTATCTGTCTGCAGGCTAGAGTCCCAGGTACTCAGCCAGGAACACAGCGAGGATGCGGCTCAGGTTGTGCACGGTGGGTGGGTGGAGGTTGTCCTCCGTGTCAGCAAAAGTGTGCCACACAGCAGGAAAGGGCGTGGCAATGAGGTGGAGCACCTGGACCCCTGGAGCAGACAGGAGATTTGGCCACAACTGTAATCCACAGCTGCTACAAAGCACCCATTTCAATTCATAGACACAGAAGTTAGTGCTAGCCCTTTATAACCTCTTAACCCAGGACCTTGGGCACGCTAAGCAACTGCTCTACCCCTGAGTTACATTCCCCAAGCCCTGAAGAATGATTTTAAATGTGATTTTCATGTTGTTTAAGAAAAGTAATTAGAAGCCAGGCGGTGGTGGCGCACGCCTTTAGTCCCAGCACTCGGGAGGCAGAGGAAGGAGGATCTCTGTGAGTTCGAGACCAGCCTGGTCTACAAGAGCGAGTGCCAGGACAGCCTCCAAAGCCATTTGTTTTTCTTGTCTCCAGAAAAACAAATAATAATTACAGCTGGCCAGTGCACACCTTTAATCCCAGCACTCAGGAGGCAGAGGCAGTTAGATCTCTGTGAGTTCAAGGCCAGCCTGGTCTCCAGAGTGAGTTCCAGGACAGCCAGGGCTACACAGAGAAACCCTGTCTCTCTTTTTTGTTTGTTTGGTTTTTGTTGTTGTTGTTGCTTCAACTGTTTATTTGTAGTTCATTGGTGATTTGCTTGCATATATGTCTGTGTGAGGGTATTGGAACCCCTAAAAAGGAGTTACAGACAGTGATGAGCTACCACATGGGCGTTGGAAATTGAACCTGAGTCCTCGGGAAGAGCGGCCAGTACTTTTAACCATTGAGCCATCTCTCCAGCCCTTTTTTTCTTTCACCAGGCTGGCCTCAAACCCATGTACATCCACCTGCCTCTGCCTCCCGAGTGCTGGGATTAAAGGTGTGCACCACCACAGACCAGCGAACCTGTGCTCTTTTTAACCTTAATCCCTGTATTCCACTGGAATCCTGCTCTTGGAACATTTCCCTGTGTAACCACAGAGACAGGTGGACGGGGACCCATGGGACCATCTCTGACACCCAGTTCCTGGCCCTCCTGTAGAAGCCCTCACTGAAGCCTTCCCTCTCAGGGAAGAAACGGGACAGTGCTTGCCTGGCATGCAAGAGGCTCCTTGCTGGCTTGCTGTGCCCTGGGCTCAGCTCAGGGTCAAACTGTGCTGTGTGTTTGCAATACGTGATGCCCTCCATTCTCCCCATTTTAGAGATGGAGAAATCAAGACTGAGCACTTGCCAGCAGCCCCTAACCCTGGGGAGAAGGCTCCCCTGTCCCCCTGGTCCCAGCAGGGAGCTCTTCAGAGG